ATAATATATCACATAAATTAGTATTATAAAAGATCTTCTTGAAGTTGAGTTAAAGCTGCTGATGTCCTGAGTTCGAATGAGATTTCTTCTGGTTCATCTTTGTCCCGTATGAATGAATCCTTCTGAGGAATGATATGTCCATATGAATTTAAAGCTTTAGAGAGCTTTTTTGCAAGTAGAAATATCAGATGAATCTTTAATCCAAACGATTCAATCGAGAAAATCGACTGTGACTTTGTGAAGAAAAAGCCTGCAGGTCAGCATCAGTAGACCAAGTAATATGAACCATATTTGGAAGTAGGTTAGAGCTCAGCAAGTTTATAAACCGTTTCAGGTAGTAAGTAAACCGATTCGCAAAAAGAAAACTTTTTTGCAAAAAATAAGAATGTAAGCGTGAGAACAAGCTCAGGAAAGGCTGCCTTCGTTCGGAGATTCAGTGATTTATATATCTATTGGATAGGCTCCGCCCCCAACTCCTCCCTTCCGCCGTCCCTTCTAACTTGCAAAAGCAAACTGACGTCATGGAACTCAGAGAGACTCATCGTTAAAACGATTCTTGAGGTCAACATGATGACAAAAAATGAGAGAAAAAATTATATTTGTTTGTAATTCAAATAAATTACAAACAGTAAAAGAAAAAAAGAAGAAAAAAGAAAATTCTTTTTATCTTTCGTCGATGTGACGAAATATCGAAGAGTATTGAGAATTTTTGTAGTGAAAAGTATGAAAAGTTGAGAGAAGAACTGCTTATCTATGGATATAGGGAAGCTTTGTCTCTCAATCCTCTTGGGCAAAGAAAAAAAATATTTCATGGTGGTCATATTATAATCATAACATATCATTCAGAAGCAAAGTTTCCTTATCAAAAAGAGTCTCTCAAGCTATCGCTGCTCCTACTACACATTCATTTTTTCCGTGACAATACGAAAGAAGATGCAGAAGAAGAAGAGAGAAGGAGAGAAATATTATGAAAGTTGTTCATTTAGTAAGCCATATGATTTCATGATTAGTTCGTGACATAAATGATAAATCATAAAATTCATGTACAGAAATAGTAAATCGCATACAACTGACCATTTAAGGACATTCCAAATTTCTAATTTCGAGAAAAAACAGTTTTGCGTTCATTTAGTCGACTGATCGGACTTTTCTCTTTGATCAGCGGAGAAGAGATTGTAGCTAAGAGCGAAGGACGTGAATAAAAAGAGATTTCATAAGAATACGCTCACAATTCCATACAAGGAAATGATGACGATGACTAGATGACATCATTAATTAACAAGCGGCGAAACATGTGTTAAATGTATGTTATTCTTCTGTTCTCTTTGCAAAAGTCAACAAAACTTTTGTAAGAAAGACGAAAGATGAAGGAGCTTTTCGTGTTCGCTTGTGCGAACAAAACTGCAAATGGGAAGTTACATCATCCTGAAGAAATGAATCATATCTTCTATCGTTATCAGAAGAACAGAAAAAAAAGGACAAAATCTCACATATATAAATGAATCAAATGATAATTGGACAGATCGGTAATATAGTACTGCTGAGTAGATCAACGGAACCATTTTTCATCTCTTGTTTTTCTTTTCTTTTATCTTCTTTTGGGTAGCTTATACATTATTCTTTTTGAGATTATCTTACAGTTTTTTTGTATGTGAAAGCATAAAGACCACCTTGTGAGTACATTTCCGGTTGAAAATGCATTTGGACTTTCTCTGTCTCTCTCTATCTTTCAGACTCTCTCTCTTTCTATTATCAAATCTTCTTTTCTAATTTTTTATAAACAATTCTCTTTGTATAACACCTTCATGATTCCAAAATCGTTGTAACAACTTGTTCAATTGGCTTTTTTCATATATAAATTCACTCACAAGATGAATCACAGAATTACCTCACTACTTAAACGTGTCTGACGTCACAGTCTTTAACCATATAATTAAGACGACCAAGTTGGGCGAAAAAAAAAACAAAACAATCCATAATTTCGTTTTTGTGAAACTGCAGGAAAAAATGGAAGAAGTGGCGATGAACGCTTCATTTATTATGGTGACGAAATTCCATTTTAAGTAATTTCAGTTCAAACGTGGCATTTTTGAGTGAAAATTGGAAGAAACGTCACCCATCGTTCGTCATCCAAAGGATTTTATACTTATATGGTTAACTAACCATATCCGCATAGGTAAAATTGAAATTTTTCCTTTTATGTGCATATTATAAAAAAAAATTGTTGGTAATGAATAAAAATTCTGAAGATTAGAATGTGTACTCCATGTAATCTTTGTATTGTTTATCTTCCATAATTCGTTTCCAATCAAATGTCATTTTCACAGATCAAAACTCCACAGACTTTTAGTCTTCAGAGGTGTGAAAGAAAAACAAAATGTTTGATGAATAAACAAATAGAAATCTGAGAGTTCAGTATTATGAAATCACGCACGAAAGTGCACGACCGTTCATTGTACGTGACATTACGTGAACTCGTACATGAACTTCGACTCAAAAAAAACATTTTCGCAATCCAAAATGGAACAGTGATGATGTATTTCTGACACATTTTTTCTGTGAAATTGTGCAAAGATAAAAATAAATAAAAGAGAAAATGAGTCATCGAAGGGTAAATACGGCCATTTCATTGATAACTGAGAGCTGTTGTGCTAGAAGGGGAACAAGAAGTAGTTTATAAACTCTTCTACCAATTATAGGTGACAATCAAATGTAATTAATTTGTTAATTTATATGATTTCCAAAATATTTTTTTAGATTTCATTGTTTCTGAGGACAATAAGAAGTTGTTTTTAACAAGTTCATGATTGAGATGCGAGGGTTTTTCATTCAAAACATCCATTCTTCATCAATTACAAATTGAAATAGAAATTTTTGTATAAAAGTAAGAACTTCACTACGTGCTTCAACCTCGTCTTTTTAGCATTAGATTAGCACAGTAGGATATGTATTGTCCATATAAAGGCTTTCAAACTATACTTTTTCGTAAATGTTCTCATTTCATAAATTTCAGATGATTTCATTCCTCCTTTTTTTATTCTTTCTCCCTCAATCTCAAATGTTTTTATGGAATTTATCGGGTAATCTTTAGTTGAAGTGTAAGATGATGAGAGTGAAGTAAAACTGAGAAAATGAGAAAGAAAGAATAAGTATTTCAACCCTAAAATGAGAATTCTTTAGGCTGCCCTTGGTGCTCAGGAGTACCGATCGTCACATCTTCATCTCCATACATACTGACTTATCCATCTTATCATCCATCTCAGACCATCGTCATAAGCACATCACCTGTTTATCGTCAGCCGATTAAGTTGGTGAAGAAGAAAAAACGAAGAAAAAAAAAGAAATGTGCATGAGATTCTAAAATGATTTAGAGGAGAATTAAATGAGAGAAGAAAGCTTTTTTAGCGATTGCATCATTTTATTCGTTTCAGCAACAACGTTGATTATCGTGTGATGCAACCATTATACAATCTCCGAACAAACCCATCATCAACATCTCATCTCACACAATATTATGGAAGTTAATATAAAAACTACAAAGAGATTTGAAATATTTGTATTGAAGATAATCAGCCAATGTATTATCAACAGCCATCTAGATCTCCATATCAGATGAGTTATCAAGAATTATCCAAAAGATATCAAAGTGCTTCTGGGTATAATCCTACTGCTCAACAATATCAAACAATTCCATACGGTTGTAGTGGAATGAAAAAAAAATTTCTATTGTCTTATTTTTAGGAGCCCAAATGACGAATATGGATAACGATGATGGTCTCATAACAAACGCACCTCATGGTAAGTTGCTCTATTGATAACATTTCGAAACATAAGTTTGATCCTAGCAAAAGCAAAGATAACCTCTTATGGACGAGCTCAAAAGGAACTGTTGAGTCAAAGTAAACATTCATTTTCTCCTAATATATAAAATGAAATTATAAAGTGTCGAACAAACGTCTAAACCATCATCAAACTGGTTCAAATTCAATGTCAATCATTTCGGAAGGACACTCACCAATGGACAGAAAATCTGGAGGAAAATCATCCTCAATGAAAGTAGTAGAAGAAAAAGAAGGCGAAGAAAGTCATTTCTAGTACTCTGAGTAGAAAGGAAGCCGATCATTGATAACTGATCGTACTTTACATTCTCAAATATCACCTCATATCGTTTATCTATTGTGGTTATGTTCATTTGGTGAACTCACTGTTTTCAGGATCTTGAGAACGTGAAAACAAGAGAAAACCCGAAAACATCTTCAGAGGTTGAAATGAAAACTAAAGTTTGAGACAATTTGATAAATTTATATTAATTTCTTCTCTATGCAGATAGAAGAGGATATTGATTTAGATTATCCTGAGAAAGGGGGGTCAGTATTTGAAAATGTTGCAAAGAGTTCTTTTCTCGCTTTCAGAAAAGAACCAGAAGTAATGCAAGCAGCCTCTTTAGGTGGCAAAATACAGAAAGACGACAACGTTTGCCCACATGCAAGAGGATTGATTATCTTAAATGTATTCAGATTTCGAATGAATTTGTACCAATTGGAAAGGACAAAGAGCCTACCGAAAGAAAAGAAGATTTGAAGATGGACCCTCTCATTCTTGAGAAAATTAAAGTTGTTTTAGCGAATTTTCATGATAAACATTATTTTTTACAGAAAAAACTAAAGGAGAAAGAGCAAATGGTCGAATGAGAACTGGTATTTTGTGAAAAAAGGACAAAAAAAGGATTTTTATTAGAAACAAGTTCCGTTATCATATTTGTACTTATTTAACTGTATATATTATGTTATTATATGAATTCTTTTTTTATACAAACAAGTTTTAAAACAAAAGAAATTCCTTTAATGGTCAAGGGCGACTCCACCTTTCTCCTTTAAATTTGAAATTTTTTCTTTTTATTTTTTATTGCTTCGTTTTTGACGACAACTATGAGGTTTTTCATTCTATTCTCATTATGTTTCGTGGAAAGCATTTTTTCAACTGATATTCTAAGTGATGATATGACGTCATTGCTCGAGAAGGCTATGCCGAAAGGTGAAATTTGTCTTCAACGTGCCTTACTTCGATTATTCAGAATGTACCAGAAATGGACATAAGTATAAGGAAGGAGAGACGTTCCAAGATGGAAAGCTCAGATACAAATGTCAGAAATATGGAGTCTATTCGATTGAAGGTTCTTCTGCTATCATATTTTGAAGACATAATTCCTTGAACAGGATGTATTACATCAAATGGACATCAACTGGGTAGAGATGAGAGCAAGCTGGAAAACAATGTATTGTATCAATGTTTAACTGCTGGAAACTCAATTTTCTATAAGGAAACGGTATTTTTATTCATTATTCATTTTCATTATGTCATACCCATTTGCTAGTCCTGTGGAGGCGAAGGAATGATCAGTTGTGACAAAGTGCCAAAACCCAAAGGTTACGAGGAGAACTTAAGAAAAATAGTTGAAAATGGCTTCGCCCAAGAGAAGGAAAAGGTTGGTTCTTTGGTTTCCCAATGACGAGGATAACTTCGCTGTAGAGTCATGTTCTACAAAATCCTAAAGGATGGAGAGTTGTAGAAGAGGGATCGAAAAAACTCCCAGGCCACAATGGAACAATGATCTTCAGAACTTTGATGTTCGATGGCATTCAAAGGTATCCTCTGACGACAGTGATGATGATAAACTCTATTTTAAGTCGCGTGCGACGAGACTCCAATGATAACTTGGATTTGAGTAAAATGCATCTGGGTAAAGGTGTTGGTCGAGTGATTGGTATGGAAGAAGTCGGAAATGATAAACCTCAAATGCCGGCGGATTTATTCGACGAACTCACGCGTAAAAATAACCATCACGTAAGTTTGAAAGGAGGAAATTGAATTTATCAAATAAAATGTTAGCAGGAAGCTTCGAAGACGCATTCAAATGCACAATTCCCGTGTCCATGTCCACAACATCCCAAAAGCGTTTCGGGAAGTAAAGTTGTATCGACTCAAACAGTCGGTGTGCATGTCCCCACCTCAACCATGTGAGTGTCTATTTTCAAACCAGAGTAGCTCTCACACAACTCACTTACCTCAGTTGAGAATATTCAGGCAGAAAGGTAATGTTGTGACTGGAACAGAAGACTTGAAGGCTCGAACACAAACACAAAGTGCTGGTGGATCCTTTAAAGTATTTTTAATATTCATTAAATGTTCGAAAGATTATTTTCAGCCGGGATCAACATCTGGATTTAAAACCAACTTAAAGTGGAATGGAAAAACGATAGAAGTAGATGGAAAAACACTTGGTGCTGGCGCAGGAACTTTCGCATTTGGGCGCCAAAAAACTGGCGAAACATTTTTGAAAAAAGAAAATTAATCATTATTATGTCAAAACTACTCAGGAATATAAAAATATTGTATGAAATGGATAAAGCATAACACTCTCAAGTATTTTCCCTTACACATGCGTTTATTGTTGAACACGCACGAGTCTTCGCCAAATCGACGACGGTGGCAACAATCAAAACTTCAACAAATCAAAAATCGTGGGACAGTCTCATTTCAGTGAGCATCAACGAAAGAAGATGGAATCCGTAGAAATCGGGGGAGAGAGAATCTCAAGATCACTGTCTCACCCTGCTCTTGTTGTAAAGATAAACTGTCTTTACAGTTCTCTCTCAGAATCCAATAGAACAAACAGAATCTAAGTGTCTAATCCAGAGATAGAGCAAAAGAAGAGCTTTTTTAGAGAGGTACGGCAGGACTGGAAATATTTCGCGAAGGAGGTATAGACGGTGACGGTGAATCGAATATTCATCTCAGTCGGTTCCGCATCTCTGAAAGCATGGTGAGTTTCTTACTTTTCTAATAAATAAAATGCTTTATTTTAACTTTTTTTCTAATATTCTTTTTTAAAGGGGGATATCGTTGCTGATGCCTTGGAGCAGCTCACTGCCGAGCAAATTGAACGTAAGCGTTTCATTTTTTTTTGAATAATGTATTTCAATATAATGAATCATTTTGAATAAATCTTCTATGTCGTCTAAGAGGCTGTGAATAGACAACTTGATTAATCGTATAATTTTCCAATTTATGTACAAAAACTGCTTACAGAGTTCCGTAAGTATTTCAATATGTTTGATAAGGAACAGAAAGGATTCATAAGAGCAACTCAGGTTAGCTTAACGTTTCAAAGAATAAATATATGCTTCTCTATCATCGTTCATCACTCTGTCATAGGTTGGACAAATCTTGCGTACAATGGGACAGGCTTTCGAAGAACGTGATTTGAAGCAACTCATCAAAGAGTTCGATACTGATGGTAACTGAAGAAATTGAATTTATGGGTTCAGCTTCAATTGCTTGAGGTTCTGGAGAAATTGAGTTCGAAGAATTCGCTGCTATGGTTGCCAATTTTGTTGTTGCTGGTGAAGATAATGAAGGATTGGAAGAAGAATTGAGAGAAGCCTTCCGCCTCTATGATAAAGAGGTTCTAATAAGTTTTTTAATTGCTACATAATTAATAGAAAGAAGAGAGATTTTTTGATTCAACGGAAAAGACAGGAGAAAGTTATGTTTGCTCTTCATAGACGCTCGAAGAGTATGGTACTTCTTTAGAATACTTCACTTTCGCTCGCCCCCACAATTCAGATTTCTGTCAAACGAGAGAAAGAGTGAAAAATTCATGGATAATCTGAGTATTTAAAGATGTCTATTAAGAATTGTTCAAAAAAACAATTAAGGAAACTAAATAAATTTCTTTGAAGGGTAACGGATACATTAATGTATCGGATCTTCGTGACATTCTTAGAGCTCTGGATGACAATGTCAGTGAAGATGAATTGGATGAAATGATTGCTGAAATTGATCAGGATGGTTCAGGAACTGTTGATTTCGATGGTAACTATTCAATTATGTTATATGTATGGCTATATGTTGTTTTCAGAATTCATGGAGATGATGTCTGGAGAATAAGAACGGCAAACTAGCTCTTGTGTATAAAAAAGAAATTCAGACATAACTTTCTTTTTTTCTTTTCTAAATAAAACTTCGAAACAATATATTTTGATTTATAATTATTATGAGGGTCCATGGGAAAAATTACAAAAAAATAACTGAAATTCACGTATTCCACGTGATATTTCCACGTAGACAAATATCATTTTCTGTTTAATTTAGTGTGATGAACGGTTGCATTTCATTTGTTTTCTCTTCCGTTTCTTCCAATTACTTGTTGCCTTCTTCAATTGTTGTTCTATATTCTCACACTGACATCATCACTCGCTCTCATCTATTTCTAATATTCTTTCTAACGAATAATGTTTTTCTTCATTCAAACTATTCGGCTTTGTAACTGACAAGCCTTCTCTTATGCAACTTCACACTGCTTTTGATCTTTCTATCCAAGTGCAAATAGCAGCTTAGCAGAATTATTATAACCATTATGATAACTGTAGCAATGTAATGAAACTGCACCATTTCTGAATATACTTTTACTGAAAGTTCAGTTCTACTTCCTGAAGGAAACAGAGCGTTTCCACTAAGTTGCTACCTTTCATGGAGCTTTACACTCATAGGATTCGCCCCTCTCCCCTATGACGCATCTAGTCATCTTAACTCCGCCCCTTTGCCTTTTTGCCTTTTCCACCACAGCTTCCGAGTGATTTACTGGAGAAAAGGCTATGTTTCAATGCCTACTGACGTTGAGGCGAAATGTTTCTTCTTTTGATTTAAGTTGGCGATTCTTACAATGTATTCGTTCACCTTCCCTTCCTTCCTTAAAATAATTTGCAATTCAAATTTCATTTTCGAATAAAACAAAAAAGAAAGGAAGACATGTATTTCCTCATATTTCTAACCCAGATTTTCAGAGGATAACATTTCAAATGCATTACGAACATTCTAAAACAACCTTTTTATTGAAAATCGAGTTTTCCATATTTGAAGCTAATAAATTCGCTTGGCTGCTTCAGTCATCATCATTCTCCAATGGCTGGCAAAAGAAAAAGTTTAAAAGGCAATTCCATGTTGTCCTTTAATATATTCCCCTGAGATAATATAATGATTCTTTCTTTTTTTTCTTTACATTATTTATTTTGATTACTTCCTATTTAACAATCTTTCAGAATAAATGGAAAGCATCAGAGAATCCGAATTGCGGGAAGTTTTTAAAGAGTTCGATAAGAATGGAGATGGTCGAATAACACGGGAAGAATTAGAAGTACATTAACTAATTGTTATACCACTTCCTCGTGTTTTTACAGGTTGCTTTAATGCAGTTAGGCGAAAAGCCTTCACGACCCAAAGTGGAAGCCATGATTCAGCAAGCAGACACAGATGGTAACTTTTTGATTTTATTTGACAGAAAAAAAAAGTTTTATGACATAAAAAGCAGTTTTGATTTTTGATTTTGTATAATTTTCTCTCTGAGAATATGTGCGGAAATGATGCGACGAAAACTGCCAAATAAAAGATTCATCGTTTATCTGAAAGATGAGTTGGTTTGAGTTGAAATTTGGTTGGCACTTTCTTCTTCCCTCTTAATCTATAACAAGCCATCTAATGTTTTCTCTGCTTCTTATTCTGAAAGCAAAAGAAAATGTGTGGATAGTTTACATCAGTCTGTTGAAACAAGATAAACTTCTTCTTGCTTTTCCCTCGTAACGTTTGGAAGTATTCCAAAACGTAAAAGAACTGCCACGAAAAGTGCACTTTTCGAATTTTTGCTGATTCTCTCGGCTCTTCACTTCCTTTTCAATAGTATTCTCTTATTTAAATATAAAAGTTTGAAAAAAGCTAACTAAATTAGGTGTCAATCATCTGAACCTTTCATCTCGTATGTCCTCATTCCTTTTTCCATATTTGGACATCACCAGCTGACATATTCTAATATTTTCATCAATTTCTCATCTATTTCAAGAAATGAATGTCTTCTAATAAAGCACAAACGTTTTTTGCATTTTACAGCCTTGAAAATATACAATATTTATTTTCAAAACGTAGAGAGAAATGCTGAAAGCTTTCATGCACACAACCGTCTACGTACGTCAGATCAATTCAGAATGGCGATCACGTACGCGTCCACGTTTTCACTACCAAAACATCAATTATGCTAATTATGTGTACTGAGTTTTAAACTCTTTTTTTATCTCACGAACGTCATCACACTCGAAACACTTACAAACTCAGAAAAGTTTCGGCCATCATAATCCCATTGAGCTCAATATCCTCTCAATTGATTACTTTTGTACGTACAACACCCTCCATAATCCAGAGATTAGAAGGAGCAAGAAGTACGAAAATGCACAAAACTTTGTTGTTGTTCCCAGAATTCTTTTGTGTAATATGATCAGAGTATTATTTATAAAATAGTATTTGACAACCCTTTTTTGTTCTTCACATCGAATTCCTTTTGAATTCTGGAAAACGAATGACCATGAAGCATACATGAAGAGGAAAAAACAGTTTTTTGACGAACAATAAAATAGTCAAAGACTTTCATTTTCTTCGTTTTTCAAGGAACAGCTCAGTTTCCTTATACAGATTCTAAGTTTGTGAGGAAAGTAATTCGATTAAACTGAATGTAAAACTACAATATTTTCTGACTAACAGCTATTTGGTGAATTCTAATTTTGAGTCACATGGGTGGGGGGAAGAGAGCAAAATGGATGAAAATGGACACGAACCGGGATTTCGACTAATACAAATTTCATTAGAGACATGGTTCTCAAGGGAACATTCAATATTCTGTGCATGTTAGAAGTTTCGATTATAAACGATTTGAATTTGAGCTTTACGATAACTTCTTCTTCGGACAAACGAGATGAATAAGAATCAAATCTTAGAAATATAACTTTGAAGAAAAACGAACTAATCTTTCTCTTAATGTTTCACGGTCTTTGCCTAATTCAATTTTATAAAATTTAAAAGTAGCAAAAACAAATCGGCTCAGAAGCTTTCAAGAGTCTCACAAAATGGAGAATCTTTACGATTGCTGTAGTGAAGTTATACGACGAAAAAAAAATTGAGTACTTTTTATAAATCAACATAATGATTAAATCACAGAGAGTATGGGCAAAAGTCGGAGAGATAAAAGAAAAATAAGGGAAAGGAAGAATATGCAATTCCAAAACAGACGCTCATTACTCACAGCCTTTTCTTCAGAGAATTATATTTTGAAACCCGCGAAAGACAAGTATCTAAAACAGCAGAAATTTTTTAAAAGGTTTCCGACCATTGTTGTTTCCAGTTTCCTCGAAGTTTTCAAGACTTTCCAACAACTCTAATGTACTAAACTCAACCCTCACATGAAAAACTCCTCGATAGCACATTGTTTGCCATGAAAGGCCATTTGGACTCATTTTTTTTCGCTTTATGAATCCAAGTTCACTGACATAATATCGTTCAATAAACAAAACTGTTTCGAATTTTGAAGTTATCGCACAAAAAAAAGTAATGTAATAACGCTTACAGATTTTTTTATGATTTAGGGAACGGGTGTATTGACATCGATGAATTTCTTAATGTTCTTAGAAAGCAGTTTGTTGATCCGAAAGAGGAAAAAGAGCTGCGGCAAGTATTCAATGTAAGTTAACTAGGAATTGAAAGCATTTCAACAAGCTCTTCTTCAAGGTTTTTGACAAAAACCAGGATGGTCTCATATCTTTGGATGATTTAGTATACGTAATGATGTCATTAGGAGAAAAACTAACAGAAGCTGAAGCTAAAGATATGATAAAGGAAGGAGATCTCGATCATGATGGTATGATAGACTTTCAAGGTCAGAAAATGTTTTATTTCTTTTTTTCATGTTATTTATTTCTAGAATTCATTATGTTGATCAAAAACCAATCATAAGCCTAAGTCAAATGATCATACGGTTATTAATTCTTCCACATATTAAATCAAAAACAATATTATTATCTTCTGGAACTAATATCATTCTCATGATAAACAGATTCAATATACATTTGCTTAGAGAGATCATTAAAGTGAACTAGTATTAACACAAGGTTAATAGAAAGACTCTGATCCTAGATTTTTCTATTTCTCAACGGCCCATCAGAAGTGATTTTCTTAAGCCATTCACCGAATCTTCTTTTTATCCCCAACAAAATTAAGAAGACACTTTCTTCAAGCTTTTTCGAATTGCTTCGATTTCAGGAAAACAACGCTCTGATAAAGCGAGATACTCCTCACGCAGTTCGTATCTTCAACAAGAATTATAAAAATATTTTCTGAAAGATAAAGACAAACCCGTGATCTATAAACCTCACATCTGATCCTTTATGAACAGAAGAAATGTGCTGTTTCACTACATCTATTCGTGTGAATCCCACTGAGCATTCCGTACAACTTGAAAAATTTCTCTCATGAGCGGAGCATTCACAAACTTACCTATACTGTTTCTTTGTAGCATGCAAACGAGCATGACGATCAGCACATTTCAAGAAATTACGAACATCTGATCCGAATGTCACTTTCGTTCCACAAATCTTTAGAACAAATTATAGAAAGAATATTAGAACATTAAACATTACCTGACATTCATGAACATCACACTTCTCTCCTGACTTCTGCGTACATTGTCGCTTCCGCGGCTTAGTTTTAGGTTTTGAAGTATTTTTCTCAGTGAATAACTGATTTAAATGATGAATAACACATAATGATAAGCAAAATCTACCGTTCGTCTTAGAGACATGAACTGTTCCAGAATGCCAGAAGAGTTATCCAAGCTCTCAGATACTGTCTGTAATAAGAAGCGATTTATGTAAACGTAATTAACTTTACCAGATTATTCTCATCGCTTTGTTCTTCAGGAGACTTCGGTTCAGGATTCGTCTGATTCAGTAATGATGAGAGAATAAGCGAATAGGGAGATATCTAAACATTTTAAACTTTTAAACATATGGCTCGGTAAGGTACATTCTCTTCAATAGTCGTCTCGTCAGGATCATCTTTAACTGTACACGCTGAGGCGGTATGTGGATTATTATTAACAGGAGAATGTGTTGATATATCATCTGATGACTGTAATGAACACACTGATGAGAATATATTTTCTCTGAAACACACCTCCCCCAATGTGGGCACCTCTACAACTGATGGAGTTCCTCGACAGTTACTACAAGCACTTTCGATACTTTTTGCCACCACAAACGACTTGTACCCATTTTCAAACTGAAAAAAAACTTCATGAGATAAAAACTATGCAAGTAGAATAGGAAAAGAAATAGTTCATTCGAAAAAAAACCGAAAGAACAACTAAAAGAGAAGGTTTACCAGAATTCGTATGGCACTATTGATAGCCAATCCTTCGTAGAGGTCTAACATTAAAACAACCTGTTTTAAAGTAGTTTCATATGGAAAGCTTATAAATCCAAACCTCTTCTGTTTGCATACTTCGTTTGGATGAGGGACCACATGACATACACAGGTTCTCTATGCTTTCTCCTATTCGAAATGTGGAATACTCATTCTCCAACTGTAAAATAATTAAATACATATTCATATACATATTAACTCATATTTGCTTCTACCTAATGATAATTTTAATTGAGCTCTAGGTAACTTGAGGAATTCGAAAAGCGTAAAATCAGAAATCAAAATCAGAAGAAAAACAAATAAAGTCATAAACCGATGGTATAAAGGTCGGCAACCTTAATGTCTTGCCTTGATTTAGGTTAAGAAATCGACTTATGACTCGTTACCAATGCCTAATACTACAAAATTATGAAAACTTACAAGAATTTGTATGAGAGAATTGAGGCTTTCGTCGTTTTTTGCATTTATTAATAGATGCATGTTTAACATCATATGAATATTATGAATCTTTAGCGATAAGCAGTCCACACTCTAATTTCAAAACAAAACCATGCAGGTAAAAGTGAGAAAAGAATATTAAGGACGCTCAACAGCAGTGATGTGGCTAGCAGAAATCGATGAGGGGCGGTCCCAAATGAACAGGACCTGGTCTCCTATAGACCAAATGAAAGACCAGTTTGCGTCTGCACATCGATCAATAGGAACCCGGTCCGGCATACATCGTCAAAACAACAAACATAATGCAAAACAGGAAGTTCGTGTAAGGTAGAAAACGACACATCCAGCTGTGCTCGTCTCTTTTTTGTATCTTTCATGTTTCTTAGATTCCACTTCAGCTCTCAATCTGTTTACATCGCAGTCTGCCTCTCATTATTACCTTCTCACAATCTCTCTTCTTAACCTTATTAATTGAACATTCCGCCTACAGTTACTCAACTCACCAGATTAATCATTCAAGTTTTCCATCGATGAATGCCATTGTCTGTTGGTGACCAAGATGTTTTTCTCAATATGGTCCAATTGTTCAGATTCCGATATTCTTTCATTTATGCTGAGAATTCCGAACTTACATTTTGCATGTTTTTTCTTTGCTTTCTTTCCTGGACTTCTCGCTTCCTCTTCTTTGCCATGTTCCTGAAAAGAATGTTTATATTATTCTTAAACATCTCATAGAATGCTTTGTACGTTGCGACCAACATCAAAAATTGAAAACTGAAAATGATTTTCACGTAATCACGTGCAAATGCATATTCTAATTTTTGTTTTGAACGCTACAGAGTCTGAAGAAACTTGAGCAAATAAGTGTGAATTTGTTGAAGTAGTGAGATGCATACGTTGTTTTAAACAGAAAATGCTATATTTTTGGCTCTCAAGAAATTCCTCTCCATGTGTTATTCCCATCTAGTCCCTAAAAATGAACAATAGCTGTTTGACTATCTGGTGGACTGCGGTTTCCCTCAAGTTGTCATGAATCTCTCCATGGCTTCATGAACATATCTCCTCCCAAATGTCTTTTTCAATTTTTCTTCCCATCACGTGGAACTGAAGAGACAGATGTGAACCATATGAACAATGGCATCACACTTTACCATTTTGCTAATTTTTGAAATTTGGAAACTGTCAAAGACGTTGAATGAAAAGCAAACAATGCGAAATGAAGATTATAGAAGAAAGTGTGATGAGGAAACTTCTGTAGTGCAGTATGTACAGTCTTCCGTTTAGAAAGAGAGACTGTTTTAATAACTTAATAACTTTGTAATTGTAAGAAAAAATGTTTATAACATAGGAAAATGTACGAATTGATAACACCAATTAGAATTAACAGAGTGGCACTCTAAATATGATAAAACTATAACAACCTCAGTGTATAACAAGAAATAAATAAAGCACAATAGGGATAAAATACCAGGAGATTTCAATTTACAAACGATGAGACAAACGACATGAACGGATAAAAAGAGATTTGTTCCAAAAAAGGATTAAAAGTGGCAGAAGATGTAAGAACAAAAAAACAATTATGAATTGAGATTACAGAATGTAAAGCAAATATGCTTATCGATTTGAGATTGTTAATTAATAAGATCAAGTATAAAACAGGCACTTAAGGGATAGAATCAGGTTCTGACCTCATTTAGCCATTTCAGCTTATCTTTCCGACGTCTATTTTGAAACCAAACTTTTACCTCAAAAAGGCTTTTTGATATTGACCCTATAGCTGTCTGGACTTACCCTTAGCGCATCGATGCCTAATGTTTCCATGAGTTGTTTCTTTTTGAAAGGATCAGCACAAGCATTAGGATCTTCGTTATAAAAACTTTCTAGAATTTCCTGAACAAATTAACAGTTGAACATTTTAATTGTAAAAAAAGCCTACTAGATCTCGAGTGTTATACACTATGCGGCCTCGTCGTAACTTTCCATTTGCAGAAACTAAGAAAAAACATTGAATGTCTAGGAATCTTCAACTTACCGACATGTCCAAGATTTCTTTTATCGGAATTGGGGGATTTAATATTTAACTCAGTTCCAAAATTTATGTTTATCTAGAAGAAAGTTTTAAAAATGTACTTTGTTTCCTTAAAAACATACCGGCTCAGTGGAGGGACTGGACGGCTGGTCTAAGGGAGATGGGGAGAGCCGCGAATAATGTGCAAAGACGTTCGGTGTTGTTGATAATAAACAAGCCAGAAGAGAGGGGTGCAATGTCTCAAAATTCGTATCCACCTGTAAAATTAGAGAATACATTAATTACGAGTTGAATGACCTACCTCTTTATCAAGCGAGTTGATATTACAGTCTTCACCATCGGTCTCGGTTCCATTGGGCATATTATTCAGAGGAAATTCAACAGATGATGGCTGCGGCGTTTCCTCCTGGAAATTAATAAAGATAAGAAAGAAAATATGTCAAAAATACGATACTCTGTCTTCGGATGACACTGAAACAGTAGAGGATGATGATCCTTCGCCTAACAAAACATTTGATGGAACAGTTGTTGAAGTATTCTGAGCTACGGCCTACAAATAGGGGAAGTATTAACTGAACGTTTGAAAACCAGAAATTAGAACTCAATGAGAGAAAAGACGAACCTCCAGATCAATTTTAAGAAAAGCGGGATCAGTCATTGCAGAGAGGACATCGCTACTGCTTATTCGGCTAATATCAATTTGTCCACTATTCACATGAATTTGGCGATCATTATCAATATCGTTATCACCCTCATGATTATCATTATTATAATTACTGTTATTAATATTATTGTTCGACTCTATGACTTCAAATTTTGTGATTGGACGGAGAACTGATTTCTTTTTATCTTTCTCAACTTCCTGCATACAGACAATTAATATCAATCGGATGAGAAAGATATTACCTTGGGCATTGTAAGAAGAGGATGCTTTCCACAGGATTTAGACTCATTCGAATCTGTTGAGTTTAAAGAACACCGAGGGCACATTTTCTCAACTCTATCGACTATGGAAATAGGCACATTATAATTATTTACCTGAACAAGAGATAAGTAATCTATGATTAAGTTTGAACTCACAAGCTCAGTCACAATTTTGCCCATTTCATAGAGGTGATCTTCCAAATTGATCAGAAGAAACATTCTGTAATGATTTGACAACTATGAAACTATATTGAAGACATGTTAACATAAAAAAGTTAATGTAAAATAGAAAAGATTTGTTTGTCCTGCTAGCAAATGATTAAATTGAGCGGCCTAGCCTACACATTTTGGGGTAATTTGTCGTCCAGAGAAGAAGGGGCGGCCTTCTAATTGCCATTCAATCGATTGATGATTGCTCACAATGCTATGCATCATCTGGGAACTTCGTAAGTGAGAGCGAAAAAGAAGGGACTAATAAAAATTAATTGTCTATTAGAAAAGCATCTGATTGTGAAAGAAAAACGCCTAACGATATGGCACATTAGCAGAAACTGCCAGCAAATTAAATAAAACGAGGATAACAAGCAAAGCAGAGGAATCGTTTAAAATTAAACTGTGGGGGATATGATTGCATACTCATTTAGAGTGAAATGAGTGTACAATGACGCTTAGAGAAACTCGATGGCACTAGTCATGGACACGTAAAAAAAATAAGTCAGTGAATGTGTGTGGAAGAAAAAGGTATGGTGAGGACTGCATAATGATCTTGAGCTGCGAGAAAAATAAAAATAAATCGACACATACAGAAGCTCAGAGCTTTGCTTATCCAATACTTATAATCCGGAAGAGCTTAATTGAGCCAGTGATGGAACCAGCAAGCAGCAAGCGAGCACTAGTTAAGATAATCATTCAGGAAAAGAGAAAGGTATTTATAGCCTAATAAGAAAATATTCCAATTACTTCAGAGTATTATGGAGAGCATTTATGCAGGGAAATCAGGTTAAAAAGCTGGTATAAGAACGGAAATGAATCAATTAATTTGCTTATTTCAATAGGGTAAGGGGCAGGCAATCGATTATGGTAGGGTAGCCGTAGAGGCAGCAGCCGTGGATGTAAAAGTTAAAGAAGATGATGATGATGATGATGATGACGATGATGATGATGATGATGGAGAAAAAGAAAGGGGTAGAGAAAGAGGCAATTGGAACTAGTAGAAAGAAAGCAAACTAGGCGGAGTATATGAGGAACCTAGACTTTCAACGGAACAAAGCGATTGATATGGTCCAGGATTGAGAGATATAGTGAGCAATAAGAGAAGGACAATGGCCCATATTATTGAGGAACAAACGACGATATCCTTTACAATGTTTATGTGAGAGGGTAAGATAGAGACGAAGTGCTGGTGAAATATTATTAGACATACGGCTTATTTGACCCGATGTTGATGTCGGATGAAGATGATGAAGACATTGACATCATCTTAGTCGCCAAGGCTTCCCCTTATTAATCATGCATAGTATATTATTGGCTGCTAAACGTACTAATACCCATGACATCCATAAGCAGCTGCAGCACCTCACTCTCAGGGTCAGGATGAATATATGAAAAAGACAAGAACGACAGACTCGTTGGCGAGTTATCCGTGGCGGATAAGTCAATATATCATTAAGCCTTAGAAGAATACGAAGCACAAACATGCGATTCTACCAACGACTCCCTCCTAACTGACACAATGTCAATTAAATAGAAAAAAGTAAATATTGGACTAATTAACAATTGGTAGTTGCTAACGACAGCATGACAAGACCACAATACCAAATACGTAAAAACATGAAGAGTCTATTGAAAGCTGAACGAAAAGTATAAAATTCGAAATGAGAGATGTAAAGTGAAATTGAAGATATATTTATATATTTTAAACCTCTCATATACACACAAAGATATAGATGTATACACATTTATGGAAATGCATATGAGACCCTACTAGATCCTCATAGCTAATCCGACATTTCGAATAATACTGGTGATCGTCGAGAGAAGGTACCGCCCATCTCAAAACTCTTCAAGGATCATCAACGCACTAATTAGAAACTTTGCAATTAGCCCGAATAACACTGATTCAATTAAATGGATGAACTGGTTTTATGATTCTGGGCAATTTGTAAACGGTTGTAACGAAACTCACAGTCTCTTTCATCACAGGATTTCACTCAGAACAAAATTATATATATATGTAACATTAATGAAGAGTAGTAAAAGCTACAACAGAAAAGTGAAATTTAACTCAAGACAAAACATCTCGACTTAAAGCTGATAAGAAGAAAACAAAAAAAACAACTTATAAAATAAGTGTGTTGTTTAGGCTACTGATACTGATGGCCCAAAAAATTGAAAATTTAGCATCGATTGATTGACCTGTCAACAGCAATTACGAGTTAGCTCGTACAGAATAATAAAATAAATACCATTATGCACTAGATTCATAATACGCAAGAGCTTTTAAGGAAAATTGGAAAATCATAATTTATATCATGTAGTTATTATATGGAGACTTATAGAAGTATTCAAATTAATTATTGAAAATGAGCAGCATTGCACCGGTATAATGTAAGCGTCAATTTTCTAATTGGTAACTAGGTCAACACTGAGCTATTCGGTCAGCGTGGCGCTCGAGCAAACAATCGCAGTATATCAATATGCCAATGCCATTAGCATATATTGCCGCGTGGATCACGTGAAGTGCCGACGCACGATGAAAAGAACTGTCAATGAATTTGTAGTATGAGATTAGAGCGGAGCGGTTGCATTCAAAATTAAGTCCATTTTTAACTTTTGTTCTTTCCAAAGATAAGTATAAAATTTGTAATTCCTTCGAATTTGCATCAAATTATTATATGAAAGGCTCTCAGAATGATTCTAAAGAGCTATTAATCGGAAATTTCCAATGCCGGATATAATCAGTTAACTCTAAATAGACTCGACTAAATGAAGGATCTTAAGCTCTCCTCGTAGTAAATAAGTTAATTAATCATCATAGGATAATGTGCTAAAAAACAGAAAGTGGTAAATGATGCACAACTACTGAATATAGTGTGAAATGGAAAATATTTATAAATGAAAACGAACAAGCATGCTCAGCTTAATTATATAAATGTCAGAATGGGCTTCAACTTAAAGAAAATAGAGAATTGCAATACCAACAATGCCTTTGCTCTTATATGGTTATCGATTCAGGCAATTGCTAATGTACATTCAAATTGCGCTCGTTCTAATTGCCACAACAGCTAATTAACTGAAAATTATCGTGGTCATACAAGCTAAAGAACATAAGGCCATGAAATAGACAGATACGAAAAAGGGGAAAACAAAGTTGAAATGCGAACAAATTTCTTACAGCTGTCGGCAGTTCGCTATGTGATGAGTAGTTTTATTGTGAATCATATGTAACCTTAACAGCCACTGCTCTTTCAATCTTCTTTATTCAGCATTTCGACATACCATTTCGCTAGAGAGTAAAAAGAAATGAAAAAAAAGGAAAGATAAGTAGTCCTCGTTTTCTCAGATGTTCATACAGTTTTCAGTTGAAAATCAACAGCTATAATTGATATGTCTTACGTTGATGAGAATTGAAAACATCTCGGCCAAAAGCTTAGACGAATATAATTCGGTTGTCTAGGTAACTGAGGATTTGCTAAATATATTAGAAATTATAGATTGCTACAATTCAAACAACTAAAACAAGGGAGAACTTAAAAGTCATGAAGGTTCATGAAACGGAAGAAAGTTCTTTGTTGCTCCTGATCAGCCCACAGTAACGATCAAATAAGAAATAAGTTTTTATATATGATTAATAATCCGATATTATAAGTGAACATTCTATTAATAGTGATCCAAAGGCACTCAGATAAAATATTTCAATATTATATATATATGTATGTATATATATATATATATGAATATATATATATTGTTATGCGAGTAAAGGCAATTATGTAGGCACAGTCCGGTAAGTGATATAGGAGAAGGGCAAGAGAAAAAATACACGAGAGTATATAAGGCAAGTTCAATATCACACTGAGAATGTAAAACGAAAAAAAAACAAAAAAAAATAGAAAAAAACAAGAATGTTCTTAGATATTATATACTTATATGTCTATAGATATATATATATATATATGAATATATATCAAATTGAAGTTTAGGAATAAGAGGAATGGGTTCGGGAGTGAAATCTTAGATTCTTAGGAATGCGAAGTTATACAATCTATTGATTGCTTATGGGGTGCACTTTTATAGTGAAAAAGACAAAGAGGAGAAGAAAGATAGAAAGAGATGTTTTTGTATCGATAATGGGATGAAGGACGGTTCCGCATATAACTAATCGAGAGACCTAAGCTTCTACTTCGTTCTCAGTTGTAGAAGCCTCCTTAGGAGTATTCTCTTCACTTTGCCAGCCACGGGTTTTAGCTTTCACGTAATCTGGGAAACAAGCATGAAGCATAGCATTCCATTCGGCTCTCATTTCGTCCGTCCTAGAATTATTCGGTGAAATTAAGTCTGAGTCAAATACGGCAGAACGTACGTAATATCGAATGCATCGTCACATCTATGCCCACTCTGGCGAGCATGAGAAATCACATTGCTCTTAATGCCATTGAAGTCGCAATCAAAACACTACAAAAATAGATAAGAAATGTTTGGACATTTTTTTTTACTTGATAAGGCTTGCTCTCTGAATGTATCATGATGACATGACGCAAAAGGTTCCAACGTGATCCTGTGGAATTAAGGGTAGTGGGCTTTCCGCACAACTAGAACAGCAAACAATTAAAAGCAGAAAGTCTGAGAGAACTTACAGCGCATTTATAAGTTGCTTTGCAGTGAACTCTTCCGTAGTTTTTACCACGTCCGAATCGGCTCTCCTCTAGCTCGCCGTTAGTCATCCATCTGTGTTTTTTGGTAGCTGGGCTATAGTCAGACCTTCTACGACTGTTCGTTTCTTCAATTTGAGCTGACTGTAATAACTAAAGAGAGGTTACTATATCAATCAAAGCAGATCTTACCCCAAAAGCACTACCAAGAACAGGGTTGAGCAAATGAATCATAGATGCTCTCACTTGCTCATCTGATGTTCCCAGACCGAAATCAACGCTATCGGATGATTCTGTTTTAACTTCAGTATCTTCATCATTTGTTTCTTTTTTAGGATCAAATTCGTTGATTTCAGGAGATCTTTAAAGCGATCGCGTTAGATGAAGATTTGAATAGTATTTCACTTACACTCTCTCCTCTGTTTCTGTTACCGAAGCAACATGCCCAAGAATAATTCTTTGTATTTCTAACTGCTGCCGTTCTTGTTCCTTCTGTTGCTCCAACGTTTGCCTCGTTTTGTCCTCAAGAATCTTTGTGAGTGCCGAATGGTTATTAGTCACCGGGGTGGAAGGAGTTGAGGACCTCTGAAGTAGGAACGTTTCTAGTTTATCGAAGAAAATATTAAATTAAGTCATGTGTAATAGTTTCAGGAATGACCGGAAGTAAACCTAATGTGCTTAGAGGTGTGACCTCGAAATTAAACTCTCTTCTGAACAGGTATTCTCAAGATGTTTACATTGTCAGCTAGTTCACCTAATATTCATGAAGATTTGAAAAATTCCCTTCGCGTTCGAGGCACAAAAGTGTCATATTCCGTGGTATGTATTGAATATGTTTGATACCTCTATATCCGTTTCAGGATACTCGCCCTCAAACTATGGCTACATTGCAAAACGACATAAGCTACGAGGCATACTTGATATGGATGTCATGAGATCTGATTTGTTTTCTTGTAGGAAGGCAATTCTGAGAATGGAACAGTCACCATAAAAAGAACAGAAAGACAGACTGCCGTAAAGATTGAAAGCTTAGAGCGAAGGCTACAAGCCAATGAGAGAAACCGACGGGAGTTAGAAGGAGAACTTGAGAAATTGAAGCGGAAACTACAAGTTAACAAATGATTCAAAAAAATGCTATCATTTTTGTTTGCAGAAAGTTCAAGAAGAAAACTCCGAATTACAAATCATGAACGAAGACTACAAAACCAAATTGGAAGAAATCGATTTGTTTGACAAGGAACACTTAGTTCAGACCAGGCAATTTTAGAATTCACCAGATATTTTATCAGCATTTTAGATCTAATGTTACTCAAATGGAAAAGTTGGATACAGAGCTTCAATTGTTATTCACTGAACATAGGAATCTGAAGGAACAAATCGCAGCTACTTTATTGGAGAAACAGAATGATCTGAATAGTTTCGAACTGTCTTCGAACAACATTCTTCAACTTGTTACTAGAATCAGTGAAGCCCGTAAGAAAGTCGAAAAGCAGTTACAAGGGGCACAAGAAAACTTGCAGGAGGTTCCAACCCTTTCGCGACATAGATGATAGTTCTAAGTTCAGACTCATTCCCAGCTTATCAAAAGCCAGGAACATGTGGCCAAGCTGTTGCAACAAGTAGATTTCGCCACAAAATCTAATCTCGAAAGATTGGATATTCAAAAAGAAGTTCAAATTTAGAAGAAAAAGACTTGTACTTCTATTATTTAAGGAATTAGAAATTGAAACTGAAACTGTGAGTCACATGAGGATCAATTTGAAAAAAATGGAAGAAGAAGCAGCTGAAAGAACCAAGAATCTGGGTAAATTTCGGCTTCGATGAAAAAGTTTGAAACCATTTGTCAGAAACAATGACAGCTGAGCTTCGATGGTTGAAAAAACAAAAACTTGATTTTGAAATGAATGAAAGAAGTAATCGAATTCTCCTAAAATCTCTGGAAACGGAAAGAAAATCGTTGATTGAGACCTTGTCTCTGCTTCTTGGTTATGAGATGGCTGTTGATGAAGCAGAAATTAAAAAAAAGATAAGGTATTCAGTCTCTACTTCAAGAATGGTGAAGAAAATATTTTGCTTGTCAGACAACTTCAAAAAGAACTGGAAAACAATAAAACCGTGCAAATCAAGCTGGAAAGAGATTACCAGATGATTGAAGAACAACTTCTTGATCAGGCTAAGCAACAAAGAAATGCCTTATACAGAGCAAGGTACAAGTGTGTCGCATAAAACCATTCTCTTTATTGTTTAGAACTGCCGAAGAAGAGCATTGCATTCTTGAAGAGAAAGTCGAATCTCTCCTTCACGAAATCAAAGCATCCGAATTAGAGATAAAAGAAAAGGAAGGAAAAATCGAGCAATTCCAAGCGATGTTTAGAAAGGTTGGAAACCAGTATTCCCTACAACTTGGAAGTTTTAAGATTAATAGCACAATCGGATTACAAACCGAAAATGGCCCTAAAGAGCTGATAGATCGTATTGAAGATCTTGCAATCTATGAGAGTCTACTTCAGAAAACAAGACCTAACCCGGTAAGCCATGCTCATATAAACTAGAACAGTCGAGTGTATTAAAGACAACTCTTCACAAACTTGCTTCAACAACAAAACCAAATGTGGTAAGAATTAGAAACATGAAATCGAAAGAAGATCTTCAGCATTCCGTGGCTCATGCATTTTGTTCAAAATCTCCTTGGGAGAGATGGGATCAGCGGCTTTTCACTGCAGTCACTTTGGAATCAATCAAAGCTGCTGATAACGAGAAACTTCTTTTGCGAGTAATTTTTTTCATTCTCTTCTCTCTAACTCATTATTTGAAACATTATAAATTTTTAGAAAAGATTAAATGAGAGGGAAAAGAAAATTCGCGAGCTGGAGAAAGAACGTAAGGAGGTCAAATCGCAGAAAACCTCCCGTAACAATGAAGAACGAGTGAGTTTCTCGAGAAAGAGGAATTTCAGCTCATCTATTATATCTTTAGGTTCATGCAAAACCAAGAACAGACGATAATAAATTGAAAGATACAAATGTAGAAGCTTTGAAAAATCACTAACCATCAAAGTGTTGTTGAAGCCGTTAGTCTGTTCCGATGAAGGCGATGATCGTTTCGATAATGCTTGTGCTATATCATTGATTGAAACCTTAAAAAAATTTATTATCATAAAATTAATCAATAGAATATACCTTAGGTTTTCCATTAGAATTTGAAGATGTAGAAGAAGTAGAAGAAGAAGATGAAGACGAGGAAGAATTTGTAGCTGTGTTGGCATTACTCGATGCGTTGGCCGCTGTGCCATTTATAGCTGTTTTGTATTTAAGAGAAGGATGATCGCATAAGTCGGAAACAACTGCGAATTTATCGAAACCATGAGTTATCTGAGAGAAGATAAGTAAAAACCATTTCAAGACTAAATGAAACTCACTAAATATTGAACCAGAGTCATGGTAGCAGTCGTTGTGCTTACCTCTACTACTACATATTTCGACTGCAACATCTATAAAAAGAAGAATATTTTCATAGCAGAAAGTTAAAAAGACGAAATATGAGAGAGAATTGTATAAATTTATAGTAAAGGTTACGAGAGATGCGGGAGGACAATAAAATAGAGAAGATAAGAGAATGAGGACGTAGGAACCTCAACAATCCTTCAAGACAACTCTGCCTAACCTTCAATAACCTTGTGGCCTCAGTTGTTAAGATGAGGAGAGTACGTGGAGTTTAGATTCTTTCCGAAAATAAATCCAACCTGGGAACTATGTTGATGTGCACTGAATAACGAGACATGGAATGTTATATTGGATTCGAAGAAGAAGAAGAAGCAAAGTAGGTCACACCAGCGCAACGGAGGCTCGTCCTCTCTATTTATATGTAAAGAAAGAAAAGAAGGAGAAGAATAAATGAGATAAAACTGGTTTGAAGTGAAGTCGACAGTTCTGAGCCAATTTCATTCAGATTCGGTAATGCTCATCAACTGTGAGAAAAACAGTTGAAGTGACGGTAGTTGGTTAGGAACAGATTTGTTCTGCTTAGGCTAGTTCAAGCAGCCAATGCTGAAGTCGTATAGAATCGTAGGGAATTAGATCAACAGGTGAAGGACGTGGGGTAAGGAAAAGAGAAAAAAAAGATAGGAAAGGAACATGTAGCTGAAGCAGGAGCGAAGAACAGAAAAAGCAGAAGTATCCAACAGACATTTAGGGAATAGCCAAAGCCCCACGAAACCTGTCCGTTGCTCTGTTCGTCTGTGTCTTTCTATCTCCAAGTATAGGCAACCATATATATCCACATAACCCGACAATTCGTATTCCATCTAAACAGCACGGATGGATTGTGGAGAATCGGTAAAAGACTTTAGAGAATTTGTGTTACGGCTTATATCTAAACGTGTGTGAGTACGCTTGAACAGTGTTCGAGTATTCATCAGCATCTCAGAGAAATCATGGAAAGAAAGTTACTACGAACAGAAAAAGAAATAAAACGACAACGATGATCGTATACACACATCAACTCCATGAGAGTAGAAAATAGATTTCGGTAGAATTTCTGTGATTGTTTCTACAATAGAATCTCTAGCTATCTGAATCTGATTGAATACCAAGATATGAAACAAATGTGAGAGCAGTAGAAAAATGAGCCTGACTTTCTGAATAGAATCAAATGAACATTACAAAGATACTTAGAAGAACATTGGACTCTATCTCACATGCCCTTAAAGTATGAATGAAGAATAGTAAAATGTAAGAATAGTTTACATCAGTTTGGTAAATGAAGGAAAGGCATATAGGTTATAAAAGTTAGTTAAAATGTGTTGGGAAGAGGGAGTCGCTCTCACTCTGAGAGTGTTTGAATGGCTCGCAACATAAAAGGATGAGAGGAGCATAGGAACCCAGTGGTTATAATACAAACTTCATGAGCGGAAGGTCGAAAACATCGTACAAAGTGGGTGGAGGCTATAGTCAGTCAGCTCATGACATTGAGCACGATTATTATTACGGTCCAAGGCTCGTCTCTCTTCTCCACTATTTCTTTTTTCTCTCTTGATGAAGGGATGGCAAAAGGTGGAGATCGTTAGATAGGGAAAAAGGCTTGACGGCGAAACTGTGAAACCTTCAGACAGAGACCATTCAAGAGATCATGAGAAACCTGTAGAGGGCAAACGTATTTTTTGAACGAGGTGGTGGTAGTGAGCGGGTGGATGCATGTAGACGACAGGGTCGAGGTCGTTTTCGGAATAACTCCGCGAATCATACAGACCGACCAATATCCACCATAGGCCGATTGGCTCTGATGTAAATATAGTTCCCCGGTCTTTCACTTTAATTATCTATTTTATTTTGTAGGCGATCGATAATACTATCTTGTGTGCTCTTGACAAGGCCACGTATCATGGTATACGAGAATGATTATTTTCAGCTCATAGTTAAGTTAAATGGCATTTTTCAAGAAACCTCGTCAAATAGGGATAGAAAAGAAAACTCTAAGAGTTTTAGCTTTGCGACATACAAGACAGATACAGTAGCCTAAATGGACAATGATGTTCAAAGAGAAACGTCAACAAACCAACACAAGAGAAGAGAATACCTCTGCTCATGAAAGTTATCAAGGGATAGGTTTGAGGCTTTCATAACAAACAAATATGTTTGCACACTACTTTTTTACAATACCAGCAGGACTTAGATCTGTTGCTGTGTTGTATACAAGGTGGAAGAGTCTACAGTTGATCTTCAAGAATGTTAGTAAGAAAAACATCTACGTGTGTGAGGTGATGTTGGAAAGGAGAAAAAGGAAGAACATAGCTGGTGGAACGAATTCCTTGGGCCGGCTCGTTCCTTCAACTTAGAAGAATCTTTTGTGTTCGATTGCTCGTATTGAGGTCAGCTCGCTGATGGTCACCCGCGGCCAATACATAGGCGCTATCGGGGATATGGAAAGTGGAAGATAAGAATTGGAATGAAGAAGAGAGGTGGGAAGAACTGGGAGACTAGCGCGGAGGGATCGGATAATTAGTCCTCCATGCATTGAAATGAAGAATAGAGCAAATGTAGGTTAGACGAAGTCGTAGTATGGCGGAGAAAACCGGGCTGTCTTTATGAGAGGGAGGCTGTTACAGTGGCCCGTGCAGAAGTAGTAGGAGTGGTTAGGAGCACAAAAAAACGGGAACAGGGATTGAAAAGTAGGCGAACGAGGCCCTGGTGAGGAACGCGGCGTGAAAACTGGTGGGATGAGAAAGAATGGTCATGAAAAAGAAATTACGAAAAGAAAAGAAAAAGGAGATGACACTATACAGCAGCATGAGTTATTGATGAGACTATTTGGCTATAACTACTGTTTGGCATTCTTTTTCGAGTAAGGTGATTGAGAACAGTGAGTAGTAGACTCTGCAAGACAAGATCGGAAAGAGACAGTACCCAGACCTCGCCTGGACGTAGCAGAAATTGATAGCAATTGGAAGGTTTTGAAAAAAATTAAGTCTTTCAAAGTGAAGATAGAATTGAACGTTAAACAGCAGAGTTAGAATGTAGGAAACTAAGAGAATAGGCAGATGACAACAAGTGATTCCAACGCTCGCCGCTCGCTCGCTTGCTAGGACGATGGAGCGGCGCACAAAACCGGAATCCTTTCCTTTAAGGGAGCACGTGATCAATGCACATTTGGCGGACAGGGACATACCATGGAAGGATAAATGGACGTGGCTATGTAGGACAGAGACTGGCTGTATTAGGGATGTTTAAATGCGCAGCGATTGTCATCGGCTACCGAAGCCATGCACAAAAGTGCAGTGACAGGACGCGCGAAGCGATTATCGAAAAGAAATAGAACTGAACTGTCAGTTTAAAGGAATTATTCAACCGGGACGTTTACCCTCATAACTTTTCAAACTCTAAACTAATTAAGAAATCCGAGTATCGCAATGTCAAGGAAGGTGAATGCCATGATGGGTGTGGTGGTGACTGTAGACGATGCTGTGCAACCAGAAAAAGCCACACAGCATTCACCTTCGCATAGCAATAACAGAAGAAGCAGCTGAAAAATCAAAATGAAGAACACATGAAAACTTTGCAGTTTGAGTAAAAATATTAGAGAGAAGAGCAGGCTCCAATGAGCGTGTGCAGGGATGAGCATAGCAGCTGACTCAAGCAGAAAACAGATCACCCGTGCTCCTGAGGGCGAAATGTCATGATTTATAAATTGATCCTCATGAGCAGCTGAGAAAAATGTGGATGAACTTATGTGAAGAATTAAGAAGAGTTGTGTCATTGACATCAACAGCACTAGCTCAATCAATCGCCAATGTTAGAACTATGTCGTCAACGATTACGACAATGGTTAAAGAATGATGACGACGACAAAGTCCGTGCAGGTTCTACTGAATCATTTGTCGTCAAATTAGTAATAAGATTCAAGCTAACGAGTGTAGAGACGTATACTCAAAAAACAAACTTGATAAAGCAAAAACGAAAATTTAGTTCAACCAGAAGACGATTGAATGCATGATTCTCATTCGAGAGAAGCAAAGAACTATTCTGATGTTTCAGATATCCATAACTTCATGAACATTACGCAGTGAAATGAAATACTAATACAAAGAGTAAAGAAAACATGAAAACAAAATGTTGAACGGAGCGGGAGCAGAAATGCCGACGACAGTTCCACCGCGCACATATACATGGGGGCAATGAACACACGATGGGGGAATGAAGGGAAATAGAGACGGGAAGAGGTGATGGCGAATCAAAGCATTACAATAGCACACAGGAACAGCTCTGAAGGCACAAATGATGTGTTTTTGCTTGTTTGCTCATAGTGATTGGGCAGCGGCTGCTCAAAATGTAAGCTCTATTTGGGAGTAAGCTGCTAATCGAGCGAACCGGTGAGCAATCATTAGTTTTCAACGGTAGAGCTTAGAACCATGCTTTTTAATACAGCAATCATGGAGCCCCAGAGGTTGGACCCAGCTGTTGTGATCTGCGCAGGTGTTTGAGTGCTGGCTGGGAAAGAGGAGAGTAGATTGGTGGAAGTGGAGATAATGGGGGGGGGGGGTTAGAACGAGGAAA